AGCAGATTCTGAGGCATTGGTGGAAGCCTTGGACTTTGCTGCTCACCTGTGCGGCAAAAGTACAAGAATGGATTATCCCAGACTATCTCATGAGATATCACTGGACAGTTCTGAAGAGTTCTGTCTCAATCATAGAACGAACTTTGATCTTATAAAAGAGATCCTGAGGAATGCAGAAATCTAATATAGCATATTGCATTTGGCTAAGCTAAAATAATATTGCAAGAAGGACCAGAATAATTATTTTGTAATAATAATCCTTGCATTTGATATACAACAACAACAAGATTCCATTTATTGAGCGCCTTTCACGTCGGGAGGACGTCCCAAGGCGCTGTACAGTTGGGTCAGGACCCGAGCATTGGGGGGAAATGGTGAGGGGAGGGAAGGGAGGGAGCGAGGAGGGGGTAGAGAGTCGAGAGGGGAGCTGAAGGCACGGTCAAAGAGAAAGATCTTGAGACCGGCCTTGAAGGAGGAAAGGGAGGAGGCAAGGCGAAGGCACTGGGGGATAGAGTTCCAGAGCCTAGGGGTTGAGAGGCTGAAGGCCCGGCCACCGATAGTAGGGCGGTTGGGGCGGGGGATGTGGAGCAGACCGGAGCCAGAGGAACGGAGGGTACGGGCGGGTAGGTAGGGGGATAGTAGGTCGGAGAGGTAGGAGGGAGCGAGGCCGTGAATGGCCTTGTAGGTGAGGGAGAGGATCTTGAATTCGATCCTCTGGGGGATGGGGAGCCAGTGGAGGCGAGCGAGGGTGGGAGTGATGTGTTCCTGAAGCCTGGTGAATGACCTGCAGCTTGTGGAGGGAGGGCCGGGAAGGCCGGCGAGGAGAGAGTTCCCATAGTCCAGCCTTGAGGTGATAAAGGCGTGGACCAGGGTTTCAGCAGCGTGAGGGGTGAGGTAGTGCCGTAGTCTGGCGACATTCCGGAGGTGATGGAAGGCGGTGCCAGTTGTGGCGCGGATATGGGGGAGAAAGAACAGCTCAGGGTCGAACAGAACCCCGAGGTTCCTGACTGGCTTTGAGAGGTGGAGAGTGCAGCCTTGGATGCTGATGCTGTCAGCGCCTGAGGTGCGGAGGTGCTGACGTGAGCCAATCAGGAGGGCCTCAGTCTTGTGGACGTTGAGCTGGAGAAAGTTATCTCTCGTCCAGGACTCGATGTCGGACAGGCAGGCTGTCAGGACATCGGTGGTCGTGGAGTTGAGGGTAGAGGAGGAAAGGTAGAGTTGGGTGTCATCCGCATACATGTGGAAGTTAATCCCATGTCTGCGGATGATGTCACCAAGGAGGAGCATATAGAGGGTGAAGAGGAGGGGACCGAGGACAGAGCCTTGAGGGACACCGCACGAGACAGTGTGGGGGCCGGAGGAAAAACCATTTGTTGAGACAAAGTGAAGACTTATCACACCGTTCAGACATCTCAAAGCGCTTCACAGACATATTGTAAAGTGGACTGACTGTGTATTTTGTGAGCAAAACATAGCAAACAATTGCACACAGCAGTGTCCCATCAAAAGCCATGGATTGAGTGATTGCATTTTTTTTTGAGGGATTATTACCCCCGGAAAGCGATCTGCCAATCGACTAACAACCGGGATCCTACTTACTGCTAGGTAAACAGAGGCTTGTGCAGTAAGGAAACTTGTCTAAGGTTTCACCCACCCGGGAATCAAACCCAGGTCCCACCAATGGGAGAAGACTTCATTACTTAGCCTGAAAAAAGATAAGAGTTGCCTTAAAAAGACGAATTGCTGCCATTGGTAAGCAGCAGAAATCAAGTATCATTACTTTAGGAGGAATGCCTTCTTTCAGCAACTCGTATTTTCTGACAGTGGATCTACATTGAAATTATAATACTGGAGAATCCTGAGACAATGTTGTGTAGCCTCCTAATGATTAGAAACCGTTTTAAAGCAAAAACATAAAATGGGTTTGGTGGGGGTGGAATGGGGTGAATGGATGAGAAAAATGGTATTTACCTAAAAACACCCAACTCACCACCAGGTTCATGATATTTCTTAAAACTGTGAGTAATAAAAAGTTCAGTTATAAAAAGTTGGCTGCAATTTAACAGCTAACCTTCCTTGGATCTAATTCCACGGCTTTAACAGCAGTCTGTCAGTAATCATTATATAGTGTTAGTTTAGTATTGTGGGTGTCATGTGGAATTCCAGTGCAGGGTTAAATCTGGGTCACTATATTCTTGAAAGGCTAATTTTATCTGACCAGGGTTAGCAACGAAAATCTCCCCAGACAACATAAATGTTGGCTACAGTACAATTAAGAAAGACAATATCTGGCTTAGGTTAGTTTTTTTAAACTTTTTTCTTTAACCCTTTATATACAAAACCTCTTTGTAGTTTTCAAATTACACACATGCTTTCTATTATATAACAGCTGCAAACCCAATTTTCTGTACGTTTTCTGATGGTGAATATTGGACCCAAGGAATAAAGAAACACAGAACAGACCTCCTTTTCAAAAACAAATTGTGATCGGGTTAGAATTTTAGTTTTGGTATGAAAATATTGCCATAATCCTTAAAAAATAGTTTCAATTTACAGGATATTTTGAGGTTCCAATTGCATGTGTGCCCCAGAATCAAAATAGGATTATCAAAAACCATGTCAGCAGTGATGTTCTTACGATCACTTCAATGGACGGATTTAAGAATGAAATCTAAATAGTGAACATATAATGCAACCTTTTCCTGCGTGTGCAGTAAGCGAATTGTGATGTGTGTACTTGAGCCTCATTATATCCAAACTTTATCATCACTAATTTTGTTATTAAAAACACTTTGGACAGAAACTATCAGAGGCTGAGTTTCTATTGAAGTCAGGAGAGACTCTCACACCTCAATCAGATGAGTACGATAAGCAATAATTACTTTACCAGTCCCTGAGAATGTAATAAAAGGGATAGCCTGTGTAAAGATCTTATATCCATGGCACTGATATTCAGAATCAAAACCAATAAGTATTGCTTCACATGAGTAAATCTTATATAGTTAAAAATACACAGAGGAGAGGGTGGTCAAGAATGAATTTGCGCTTAAAGTACTAAGTACAGATGGCATTCAGAAAAAAAATGACAGTGTTGTTGGGCCCAATTATAGACCAAACTCTGTGAAAACAATAGAAACCCATTATATAGCGCTTCACCTCCCAGAATTTTGTACCTGTGGATCCCAACATGTACGTACCAAAAAAGTACTAAATAAATATGCCAGTTTGGCACCACACTCTCCGTTGAATCAGAAAGTTGAGGGTTTGAGTCTGCCACCAGGACTTGAGCTCAAATTCTAGCTCATAGGCTGATGATAGATAGGAACATAGAAATAGATGGTGGCCATTCAGCCCATCAAGCCTGATCTATCCATTTATCAGACTGTAGGATCTTTTGATTTCATTTCACCACCTTTTCTTCATAGTCCTTAATATTCCTATTCCCCAAATACTTCTGTATCTCCCCTTTTAAACGTCCAAATGATTCTGTTTTGGGGAGCACAAGTTTGCAGGGCTGTGGGGAGAGAGCGGGGGAGCGGGATTGATTTGGATAGCTCTTTTCGAAAAGCCGGCTCAGACACGATGCGCCGAATGGCCTCCCTCTGTGCTGTATAATTCTATGATAAAGTCAGTCCATACCAGAGATCTGTTTAGATTGGATGACCTGACAGGCTCATTTACTGAACAGTCCGCCACATTTTAAGAAGAAACTGAGCTACAATTATAATAACCTATTAGCATATTTCACTCTGTATAAGAGACTGAAATAAATGGCATTGTGTTGCTGGTAAAGCTCAGTTCTGTCAATCTAATGACTTCAGCAAATAAACTAAGATGCACTGTGGAGAATCTCTTAGTGGATTACACTGAACAAGAGTCACACTTAACCATGAATAATCCTGGAATAAACTGTTTGTACAAATAATGAACACAGATTAAATAACTTGGTCTTCTTCACCCAATGGACAAACAGGAGTTACAAAAAGCGCTCAATTACTATCACTGATTTATTAAAAAAAAGAAATAAATCTGTTTTAACAATGTTGGAAGTTTCGCAGGTACTATAATGAGCTGAGGAATACTCAAAGTCAGAAGAGGTTGCTGTCATGTGGAAATTATTCAATTGTTATTACTATTATTTGGACCAGTTTGTTTTTAACACTGTTAATCCTAATGAAATTATTTACCTGTTTTCACCAACAACAGCCAAAATGATTTGGTTTTAGTATCAAAATCGAATGATTGTAAGTAGCCATATCAGTTCCTTATTTTGCGGTAACCATGACCTTTGTGTATGAAATCACTTGAAGTCACAAAACAATATTATGATCTTCAGCAAGAACTTGCATTTACTGTATGTTGCATCATTCGGTTTGAAAAAAAATTCAATGTTTATAATGGGGGCAATAAGTGGAAGTGGGGGGGGGGGGGGGATATTTCAAAGCACAGTCAAAGAGAGTTTCCTTTGGCGAGTTTTGAAAGCAGAGAAACATGTAACAGGGCAATGTAGTTTTGGAAGAGAGTTCAAGAGTACAGAGACGGAAAGAGTAGTAAACAAGAGACAGAAGGCAAAGGGTGTGGTGTGGGAGCAGAACTGGAGAAGACTGCTCCAATAGGGCGGAGCAAGTCTGTGGAGGTTTTGAAAATTGATGAGGATCTTGAAATCAAAGCGGTGTGAAGTTTAGCAAGGACAAGGTGCTGGGAGTATGAAACCCAATTCATATAGTACTTGGGAGTTTGTATGAGTTGACGTGACGTTTCTGTGGGGTAGAGCCAGTGAGGCCAGTGAGGGGAACATATGCCTTTTCTGTCCAGCCTTTGAAGATCTCAGTGGATTTGGATTTGTTATTTCACAAATTAACAACTAACGCCATGACTGGCAACAGCTAAAAATAAACTTTAAAACATCAATCTTGTATAATATTTCCTTGCAGAACTATAGCTCAAGAGCAACATCAAAAGGAAATACAGAGCAGTGAGAGTGCATCAGAACTGCTTACCCTTTCTACTTGCCCCTCTTTGTGCTTGAGCTTGAATACCTTCAGCTTGGGCAGAGCGGTTTCTGCGTAGTGCTTCACCTCAAAGCCTTCCAGCACCACTCCATGAAAAGCAAGCCTGCACGTATTGGCATGGATGTCAGTGTCCAGCTTTGAACCGATCACAAGGCAAAGCTTGGGGCACGTCACAGGTTTCTCAAACTCCAACAGGGCCCACTGCTGTTTGGGCACACGAGGTCTATCTGGTGAACTGACACCTTTGATTTGGTCGGAAGAATTAATCCCCTTTTCTGCAGTCAAGTACTCTTCCTGGTATAGGTATTCTCTATCAAAGTTAAAATGATCAGTCACAGGGTCACTATCAAAATCATCAGGAGCAGGGCTGAAAAATGTCACCCTTCCCATGACCGTTTCGTGCCCGACTGTGATGTGGAATTTAGCCTTAGTGTGGACCGATCCTTTAAAATAAGAGATTTTCTTCACTGTGATAATAGCCGCGTAAAGGGTGCAGAGGGACAGTGGGGCACAGACCAGGCCTCGTTCCAGCTGTTTTGGATCAAACTGGGTTACGCAGATCCCTACCCGGTCACCTTGGATGGCGTTGGTCACTGGTTTATGAAACATCTGCATGGACTTGACCTTCCTGGTGACCTGCACACAAGACAAAATAAGAAAGAAAAGTATTGCAGAGAGAAGGCTAAAAAGAAGGCAGAAAGCAGTGAAGTTAAATTCTCTGAGAAATATCATTATCACACAAACCTTAGGTCAATGGGGCATATAAATTATGCATGTTTATCCTCAATGCGCTCATACACAAAAGCCATTTACTACCTCTACTGTGATTAATATTGTACAAATGCTGGCTTTTGATAAAAGATGACCCTTTTTTAGAACTTGCATGTTATTACTCCAGGCTTTGAAATCAAATGCCGTATCTCCCCTGCCTGTCCTATTGTAGTACAGGATATGACAGTACGAGGAGGTCTGTATTCATAAACACATGATGGCTGGGACTAGTTGGAGGCAGAGGCGTCTGCATTTATTGAAAAATGCTTCACTGGGCTATAAAAGGAAAGAATAAAACCTTACAGAAACTGCACTCGCATAGTAGCATAAAAATACAAAAACGGTTTGGAAAATTGAATGACTATATAAACTAAGAAATCAATGTTGCACTCCAAAAGGCAAACAGCTATCTATAGCTCATCTTGATATAAATATTTACACGTTCTGCATTATTGAGCATTTTCACTTCAAACCAAGTGCAATAAATATTTTCTTGTAAATAATCATCCTTCAGAAACAAATTACAGACATTTAGTAACAGATTTCAAAGCTTATTGACTAAACGTATTTGCAACTGAATAAGGACAAGGCGGAAGCCATAGGTTCCCGTGAATGTCTTCACTCCAACGGATCTAAACTCCTCAACCTCCCTGGGCTCTTCCTCAGACTCACCAAACCAGTGCGCCACCTAGGTGTCCGGTTCGACCCCCAACTGTCCTTCCTCGCCCACATCCGATCCCTGACTAGGACTGCCTTCTTCCACCTCCGCCACGTTGCCTGCCTCGACCGTACCTTACACCAAATGCAGCCAAAACTCTTGTCCATGCGTTTGTCACCTCCCGCTTGGATTACTCCAACGCACTCCTCACCGGTCTCCCCAGCTCTACCATTCACAAGATCCAGCTCATTCAGAACTCTGCCGTCCGCATACTGACCTGGACCAAACTCCTTACCCACATCTCACCAGTTCTGGCCAGGCTCCCCATCATCGAACAGATTGACTTCAAGAACCTCACTCTCATGTTCAAATCCATTCACCTCTCCAACCTCCTGACTCCCCAATCCACCATCCGGCACCTTCGCTCGACTGGCATTGGCCTCCTGTTCGGCCCTCGCACCCTCTGCCCCACCATCGGATGTCGCGCTTTCAGCCACTATGTCCCAAAACTCTGGAACACTCTCCCTCATTCCCTTCACCTTGCCCCCCTTTCTCCCCTCTTTCAAATCCTGCCTGAAGACTTCCTGTTCGCCCAGGCTTATGGCCACCTCCCCCTCCCCCCGGCTCGGAGTCAGGCTCCGCCACTGTTAAGCGCTCTGAGACGCTATCCTTACATGTGTATAATGCCTCTCACGTTAGAAGGATGTCCTAAAAGGCTTCACACGAGGCAGAGAGACTACTCTAGTCCCCATACTGCTCAATTGATTTCTTAGCCAAATAATCTAATTCCCTATTAATTTGTTGACACAATCTGCCTCCACCACCTACCTGGGCAGTTTAGTCTGTTCCACACATTTCTCACCCAACGTAAAGTAATTAAATCTGAAATTTAACTCTGAGCTCGAGTCTGTGTCCCTTTTTTGGAGAGAATTTTGACCATGTCAAACATATCATTCCTGTAGCTCAGTGGTTAGAGCACTCGCCTCGCAATCGAGAGACCTGGGTTCAATTCCCGGCAGGGGGAGAAATCTTGGGCAAGTTTCTTTCCTCCACATGCCTGATAATAATCGCTCAAGAAAAAAAAACAATAATAAATTGCTCACTTCAATCCATGACTGTTTGTGGGACACTGCTGTGTGAAATTGGCTGCCGCCCACAAATATATAGTCAATTCACTTTACAGTATATTCTGTGAAGCGCTTTGAGACGTCTAGAAGACGTGAAAAGCGCTATATCAAATGCAAGAATTATTATTATTATTATTAGGGTTCAGTCTGTCTATACCATTTATGATCTTGAATACTTCCATAGGATCTCCCCTTATTCTTTTTGCATGTGTGACTTTCCCCTTCTCTCTGTGTGTGGAAATCTGTCTCAGCTTGTTACCCTCCACAAAATACAGGCAAAATCAGAAGCTCGAAATCTGCAGAGTCGTGAATAGAAAACTCATAACTCTCAGAGGCACAGCACAGTCAAGCCTCAAAAGAGAACTATTATGCTATAAAATCATACGGTACAACTCAGTCGTCATCTTTAATCATGGGAGGGGGGAGGAGTAGAGGGGCAGAATCTAAATTGAGGCAATTAATTTTCATGAAGTGCACCGAACTTCTGGAAACTCAAAGCACTTTTGAAAAATATGCAATGGGCTTCAAAACATTTAAATGACAGCCACGGTGGATTCATTAAAAATAACACGCAAGAGATCGCTTTCAATTTCAGAAAATGATACACCGGGATATAAAAATAGTTGACGTACGTCAAACCCTGAATATAGTCCAATGCTCACTTGCACCTTACGTTTTTACCTCTTTTAGATAGATTTTAGCTTTCGACTATACTCCGCGTGAAGTGCGATATACAAATGCAAGTTTTTGTTGTTGTGTCTCCATATATAGCTTTGCTGAAAGTAATTCTGGTACATTCCTAATGATAAATCAGTTAGAGAAATGTCCAGTATATATTTTTTTAAATGATTTGTCCCACAAAAGGTTAAAATAAGACTCACATAAGGTAAGATCTTGGATCTTAAAGAAGCTTCTTCTCACTAGTACAATAAACTCCTCGTAACTTGACCCTGGCGTAACTTGTCACCTCCACTTTAGTCATCACGCTGTCAATATCCCGGCCACATTTATTTATGTATTTATATATATGCCTAACTTGCCACTCTTGTCCTCTTCTTCCTTGGAGTGACAAGTTACCAGGAGTTTCCTGTATAATGTACATTCATCTAACATGGGTTTCACAATACTCTGCACAAACTCAATTTTACAAATTAAAATATTAGCTGTGCGGGTTATTAAAGATCCTCATACTGAAAACAAACACCAGACTCAGTGTGGGTTTCCTTGGAGAGGTATTTAGTGCTCTTCTATTCCTCTTGGTTTACCAAATCAGGATAGGTCATTGTTCAGGAGTCAAAAGCACAAACCCATTTGAAAAAGAAAATAAATAAATTTGAGGATTACATATCGGTGGAAGTTTACACAGAGCCTCGGTCTTTATTTGACTGGTGGGAAATATAATCAATGTTTTGTTGTCATCTATATTTTTTTGTGTGTAGATTTGAACTGTTTTTAGCAAGTTTTTTGCAGGATTGGATACTGGCTCGCTCTGTACACTATAAAATCCATGAAGAACTGGCAGTAATTGCAGTCTGCACAACACATTGCAAAAATTTCTATGACACACTTAAACAATTTGAACATATTCATCTTATGAAACATTAGATTAACAGGGGGAAGGAAAAGGCCAAGCTTGAATTTTTCTAGTCAGAATGATTGGAATAACAGTGATTTTTGAAGGAGAGGTATCCAGGCCAGTAGGATGTTATTGGTAATATCTGGCTCAGTGGATAACATCCTTGCCTCCGACTCAGCAACCCACCTGAAAGACTGAAGAAAATACTTTATAAAGAATAATTTGAGATATCTTTCCTCACAAATCACGGTCACTACACTTTACATATTACACACACACATATTATGTATTTTAACATTCTGTTCTAACGAGCAACTCTTTCCTCTCACTTTTTATTATGGATATTTTGTGAAATATTTCAATGCAGTATATAAGTGGTTTGACATGTTTGTTATTTGGCAGATTTGGTAAAATAAGAATTCCCACAGTCTGCAGACTAAAGGATAATACTGGCTCGTAAAGATGGTAAAAATTTAATAGAAGTGGACTAACCAGAAATATTCAGCCTACACTGAAATGCAGCTAGGAAATGTTTAATTTTTCCATCCAACTCCTTAAGTTATGGTCCTACTAATGGCAGAAAAGCTTTTGCCACTCTTTCTAAATGGGGAGAACAGAAAATACTGTCGCAAAATGCTCAGTTGTCAAAAACAAATTGCCTGAGTTCTTTTCAGCTATTTTCATCCCCAAAAGACACAATCCTCCTGTTACAAACCTATTCACTATTAAGTCATCCTCCAGCTAGGCTTAGGTTTGACCAGCAGTGAGATATCTGGAAACTAGATTGAGAACACAATATCCTAAGTATTTGTATAAAAACAACTCTGATGAAGCCTAGTTGATAGGAAATGTAATAGCACGACTTCCTGTGGTCGTACAGAGCGGGCTTAACTGTGATGGTCATACAGACATGTCACCCTGTCCCATTCAGACACCACCAGGTCAATTATGTAACTAATACAATTAACAAGATTGCAAAGTGAAAAATCTATTTAAAAAACATTGTGTTCAGTCAAAAGCAATAATAAGAATTTTATTACTCAAACCTATGCTATTCTCGATTGGAAACTGATCGATGATTCTGACAATGTTTGTTTTATTTCTGTGCAATTTTCCAGATTGTAGTCTGCTAAGAATTGAATTACACTCTGCCCCTCTCCATATACGAGAAAAGTTATTCAATTAAATCAAGAATGCATTAATTTACAACAGAAGCTTTCGCTGTTTGTTTCTCAACAATTACTCAGACACTCATCCAAGTGAATCATCTGTATCCACAGCAAAACATGAATGAAACTTTGAGAAACATTAGATTCACTCAATTTTACCTCGGAAGGGATTGCTAAATTGCCTTCACTAATTCTCACTTTACCAAAGCGGTTTATTTTTGTAACAAACAGAAAACGTGGTCAATGCTCAGTTTCCCAGCAGAATCAGCATAAAGCCTCTGGCTCCATCTACTGACAGCTACATTACATGCTGCCTTACCAAAGCAATGACTTCT